GTAAGGTTGATTTAGAGTTTAGATTTTAGACTGTTATCTATATATCATACCTATTATACATCATATACATATAAATATATAATTGTTTAATGCATATTGTAGTTAACGTACACGTTTCAACTTTGGTATATGATATACCAACTAAATATCTATGTATAGTACGTAAAAACATTAAAAACAAATCGTAAAATACGTATCTGATCTATTTGTAATTTACATCTGTGACTCAAGTCACATTATAATAGACCATGTAATTGATACAATCGATACACATTAATTAAATGCACTAATCTTTGTAATTTTATAGTAACAATCAATAGGTAACGTATATTTTATTTCTAATACATATAATAATGGTAACAGTTTAGAGTTTGGTGAATTAATTGTCTCTGTACATAAAATTAGTGTGTTACTTAAATTAATTTATTTTCTATTTATTAATATATAGTACAGGTGTACCTTTTATGTTGTATATGAGTGATTCTCAATCTCTTTTTCCATTATGGCAAAATTCTTATTATTTAGTATAAGTTACGGCTCACTTTGGGTAAACATTGTTTATTTAACAAAAACAAGTACTTTAACCGTGAAACACATGCGTACATAATTACACGGGCATAGCCGTTATCGACTAAAAACGTATACCTTTCTTTTTTCGACCGATTCACTTTTCGACCAAATTTAAAATAGATCGATTTTCTTCTCGACCAAAATCGTACTCTTCCCTTTTCGGTCAAAAATATTTTAAATAATATATGTAAAAAAAATTAAATAATTGGTATACAATTTTTTGTAAAATTAGAGCAATTGCATAATAATATAATTTTGAAAATGATAAAAAGTATAAAATTCATAACAATTTGTAAAAAATAATGTAGAAAATTATTTAAAACATAAGAATATAACATTATTTTTATGTAAATATGTCACAGTATGTAATATGTATAATATAATATAAAAAAATAAAATTTAAATCACATAAGTAGGTTTGTGACATATTTACATAAAAATAATGTTATCTACTTATATTTTAAATAATTTTTTACATTTTATTTTAAAAAATTTTATGAATTTTATACTTTTTATCATTTTCAAAATTATATTATTACACAATTGCCCTAATTTACAAAATATTGTATAACATTATTTAATTTTTTTGGCCAAAAAGGGAATTGATCTATTTTAAATTTGATCGAAAAGTGAATCGGCTGAAAAGGGAAGCGCACATATTTGGTTGAAAAGAGTTTCATCCGATTACACAGGTATCATAATCTACGAGTATATAAGTTCAAGTTTTCATAGCACATTCTTTGGGAAACACTATTATATACGTCATTTTTAGTCTAATTGACACCAAGAGATGATTGATGAATGAATCATAAATATCAACACTCATAGTTTTCAACTTTACATTTATATAAATACACAAAAATATCTTGCATGTACCAGAGGACTGTATCCAATCCTCTTTAGGATGATAGGTAAATTTAGATTGTATATTAAAACCATTTTTCCTTTAACAAATTTTGATTGTTAGATTTATTTTTAAATTTGGATCTAACTACATGCCAATGATTTCCAAATTAAAACCATCCATGAAAAGAATATTAACTTCTAAAATAATCTGACTAGACAAGTTATGATAGTATGAAAATTCAATTGTAATTATGTAAATAGCTTATTCCGGAGATGGGCAACTGAAAGTTATTAGAGGGTCAATTTTTAGAAAATTAAAATTTAGCGGGTCAGAGTATAGGGAATAAAAAAAAAAAGTTCAAAATATGCATTTTAATTTAGCATTTATTTTGTTTATAATGTGAATATTAACAGTGAAAAGGTTATTGAAAATAATTAAATATAAATAATGCTATTTCTAAATACAAAAATACTAATACAAAAAATGTTATAAAAATTAATTATATTAAATATAAATAATACTATTAGTATTTGTTTAATGTGAGTTTTCAGGACATGTGACTGCTAATGATACCGCAGCAAAATCAACTACTATTTCGGAAGAGGAAATACGAAGTAGGTAGCCTAATATATCATCAGTAAGAATGTAAGATCTAGATTAAGTCCACAGTCATATTTTTGTCATAGACTTCAAGATTATTAAATTGTTAAGTTTGCATATAATTTGAATCTTTCTTCTTTTTTTATATAATAATTTATTGGTATACCTGTAATTAAATTATATCAATCTTATTATACTTAGAATAATGTAAATTGTTTTGCATAACTATTATTGAAAATTGACAGTAAATTCTATAACAAAATATATATTTTGAAAATATAAAAATTCAGTTGTCAATATTTGTAAAAATGTATTAATGTTTATTGTGTTTATTATAATGATAAGTTATAATTCAATTTTGATTTTATGCCTGCTATGTAAATAAAAAAAAAATGTCACAGATTATTTTAAAGAGGACATTTTTGATATCCGCAATTTTCAATTGGTTCATTTTATGTTGGTTACTATTCTAAGAAAAAACGAATATAATATAAGCTTAAATTTACTGATCTACTTATAAGTTTCATATTTACCAATAATAAAGACAAGTAGCTAAATTAAAACAATACGATTAATAGAATTAATAGCATAATAATAATAATAATAATAATTTAATGTTTCTTATTTCTTGTGCAAGAACATAAATGCCAGACGAAATGTGAAAAAATAAATTATCTCCAAGAAACTTAATACCGAACATCCAAAAAATAGACCTGCAGTACCTCCAATCGAAACTAAAAAATGTAAGTATATACTAGTAAAGTATGTTATTATTGCATAGTTATTATAAATATAAAATATTTAATATGTTTTTTTTTCTTTTTACCGATTTCTTACCTAAAACATCAGTGAAACCAAAAAGCACATTTCTCTTCAAACGCATACGAGGATATTTTATAAGTCCCCATTTTAAATCAGTTCCAAAATACCTGAAAAAAAAAATACAATTACGCTTTAGTTTATAATAAAAAAAATTTGTTTAATAGATGAAATCGTAAGCAGTGATATTCCAATTATTTCCAAAAAAAAATAACAATTCATATTTGTACTACACTTTTTTTTTTTTTGAAATGAAAATTTGATGTGAGGTGGTGAAAAAAAATTCAGCAAGAGTTTCTATTGTTAATCTCCTGAACATGAGTGGTAGTTTTACAGAGAAATAATAATATATACGTTAAGTAGGTAATAGTTTTATTTTTGAGATGGTAGATTTAGGTGAGGATTATGTTGCGGCCCGAAATGCCACAACATTATTATTATTATATATGTTGCCGCCACCGACCGGCTCACACACTCTCACACATCAACCAAATATCAGTATATCACCGTATTTATAATACTATTTATTTTTATATTTAATTGTTATCTGTGAATTATATAATATTATGCAAAATACGTATCGGTGTGTTGTCTGTCGCCGCCGGCTCGCCGTTGCATACCGTGCAGGTTAACACAGCCGCCGTATATTTTTTTTTTTTACTGTACGTCGTCGAGCGAAAATCATAACATCCGCAATTTTTATATAAAGTATTCTTTCCTTTAAGAAAACTGGTGTTATTTTTATGTATTATTTTATCGTGTGCTTGAATCGCCACTAATTTATTATATTCTTTGCGTGCGCGAATCGCCGTTTCTATTATTTATTTATTGTTACCTATATATGATATTTTTTATACATATGTTGTGTGCGCAAATCGCCACTTTTTGTATTTAGTTGAATATTTTCCATTATTTTTATACTATGTTCTTTCGTATTGTGTGCGTGATTATTATTTATATAGCTAGTTAGCAGCTGGCCAGCAGTGTGCCGACAACTTGTAAGTTTTTATCATTATTTTTTTATTATTTATTTACATTTTTATGCGATTAGGCCAAAAGGGCTAAATATTATTATCTATATTGTAGCTCTAATAGCTGTTTATATAATTTTTATATCTATATTTTTATTATTATATTTATGTTGTGGCTCTAATAGCTATTTTATATTATTATATTATATTTTTGTTGTGGCTCTAATAGCTCTCTTTCTTATTACATTTTTACTTGTTGGGCCAAAAGGGCCGTATCTTATTTTCTATATTATTATTATATCATATTTAATATCATATTTACACTTGAGTTACCATTATTTATTATAGAGTTACCTATTCATCCTAGATTTAAGTATATACACAAACACATATACACACATACACACGCCACTTACACACTAGCACTCACAGGATTTGCTCGGCAAACCTGTCCACTTCCTGTTGAGTGCTATACACATATACACACATGCACATAAGTCGGCCGGTGTGTGTAGCATACGAATTAAATATAGGTGACTGGGCGCCGGTTCTATTATTGGAGGACGTTCCCGGCCCGCACAGATTATGTCAAATGTCAAACAGTAAACCAAAATGATGTTCTCGAATTTTATGTGAGGACAGACATCAGACTGGAGACAGTACCTACTTCAGTTATACGAGGACATTGAAATGAGACATGGGCTTTTATTTGTTTATTATTTTTTATAAGTGACGTAAGTTAAATTACCATTGAATTGTGTTATCTCTTTCTACAATATAATTAACATCATTACAAGGCGGGTAACAGCCACAGTTAACTTTTTTATCAACACCTGTTGTATTCCGAAGTTTAATAAGAAATTCTGAAAAAATTCAATAATAAATATTTTTATACTTTTGTTGTAAACTAATACGTAAACCAATTTAATTTACCTTTATGTTGGTCCAAACAATACATCCCTTTGACATCACATATTTTATATTTTTCTAAAATTGAATGTAAAAATTATTGTATATTTTAGACTAATTGTGGAACAAATTTTGGGTAATTGGGCTCTTTTTATATTTTATCCAAACCAAATTATGTCTTTTATTAATTTTAAATTTTAATACACCTACATTTAAATTTATTTATAGTAAATATTGCGTTTACCACCTATTCTTAAGCGTTTTATATTTATGTTGCCTGCGTGCTGCGATAATAAAATTCATAAAATATAGCTATTATGTATATTGTATGCGCAAAAATATGTTAATTAGATGTATAACGTAATAATGATATAATTTAATCAACAAATTTATGTATTTAATTATATTTAGACTAAGTAAATTATTGAAAGTACGTAAAAGTTATCATTGTATTTTGTTATTGTAGTAGAGGATTAGAGAAAGCTATAATGGTAGTCATAGAATATTAATTCACCCTTACTCTACTACAAGTTTTGTTAAAAACTCACTAACAATGTTTTATGTGATTGTTTCTAAGTGACTATGTATTAAAAATGTATATACTTAATACTTTTCACGGAACAAATAAAGATTGCAATTCACTTACTCAGCGGCCTGTAAAAGTAAGGAACACATCCGCATAGTTTTCTCGCTTGGTCCATTCGACATTGGTTCCGACACATATTGTAGGTATACATCTCCGGACTAATTTCCAAATCACTCTCATCCAAAAACCGGCAGCCTCTCTGCCTGGGCGAGAGATATTTGATTTCCGGTGCACTATATATACTCAACGCAGCTACTTCCAAAATTTTGTAAAAATTCTGCTGTGACGGGAAAATGCGGCATGCCACGTCAGGCACTTCGTAAGGAGAGTGCACAAATCCCTAACACACGAATATATCAATACGAGTATCTGTCTAATATTGATATACTATTATAGAATTATCTTGGCAGGGAAAAATAAAAAAAATCACATTACTTACCATATAACTGAAATTCATGGACGTTATCTGAACGAAAACGTCACCATCCAGCGGGGTACCCGAAATAATGTCTATTTTCGGGAATTCACTGATGTTGCGTTTTATCCAATATCTGCAAAAGAATTTATATGTTTCTCATAATTTGTGAGTTTTGTTATAATATTATTCTCTTGCATTTTTGGAAACCTATTTCATTTATATACTTGTAATCGTTGTATGGCGCAATGTATCCGTTGTACGAATAACACAAGCCCAACTCGGTGACACTGGGCACCAATTCGTTCGATGAAAATATGTCCACGTGACTATTACCAATTGTGTACGATAATTTACTACTCAGCAATAAAACGTAATTCAAGTAGTCATTCGGCGATATCCGATTGTACACAGGCACTTCATTAAACGTACCGTAAGTGGCGTTCGCCAACAACATCAAAAACGTCCATAACTCTTCTTTCTCCTCGTCAGTGTAGTTTGAAAATCTAGAAAAGTATATATCTAATGAGTTTATTATTTATATTTAATACAAATGGTTTGAAAATATTTAGAAAAAACAAAAAGGTATAATTTAAGTATTTCACTGTGATAATTAAATAAAAATATCATAGGTAATTGAATTAATTATTATTTGCTGTAAATTGTTATTATTTAGGTAATATGCTGATGAAAATTAATTTAATTTAATTTGAAGACGAAAATTTGTTTATTTGTTTTTAATAATCATAAATTAATACATTTATTATTTTGTATATATAACTACACATTATATTGCAGAAATTTGATTTGTATTTTATCATCTTATCAGTGTTGATGGATATTATTTAAAACAAAATCATCTCTGATTCTTAGGTTAATATGATAGTGGAAAAGTACCAATTCTTCAGTTTTGACATTTTTTTTTAAATTCATTGGTTATATTGCAATTGTTACAACAATACAATATTTTTTATTACCCAATTAGTTTGATTACTTGGTTTAAATATCTTTATAAAAAACTGTGTATAAGTTGTTTCAATTCTTAATAGCTTATGTTTAAATAATTTAATATTATTTAATAATCATAGAAAGGTACCTAAAAAATAAAATAAGAGTACACTAATTAAACATTTTCTTTTAGAACAAATCGCATTTTAAATTATATTAATTTTACTCTTTAACGAAATTTGACTTTAGTACACGATTCATATTTTTTAACCAAACTTTTTACTTTTTCTGTATGAATCCATTAAATAGTTGGTCATCAATCTTGTTCATAGGACATAAAGTGATTGCTGGAAGTGCGGTAGCCCATTCCTTGTATTCTCTATCCATAGATATCACAGTTGGATTTTCTTGATAACGATTCCAAGTGGACGAACCTAGTATTGCTGAACCATAGATACTCAAACATATTGCAATGACCCAAATTAATCTGTCAAATAAATTTTTAGTGGTTAGTGATTTATGTTACATATATATTTAATGTATACACTGTGTATACATTACTGTGTACATCTGTGGTTATATGACAATATTTGGAGATCCACTTATTCACTAAAATCGATCTTTTCGTTTACCATCAGTACAATAGTATATTTTTCCCTATTTCACTACCACAAATTTTAGTTTTTATATTTTGGTAACTCCTTATCTTGATAAGGAAACATGCAAAGTTTTTGATAATTGACAATGAATTTTTAAATAAAAAAATAATTAAGTAATCAAATAATTATTATTGAAATAAAATAAATATTTATTGTATAATATTTGTATACATAGGATATTATAAAATATTTAAAAAAACACATTCAAGTAATGCTTATATTATTTTTCAATTTTATTATTATTAAAATAAAGTCAAAATGATTCTTATGAATTATACAAATCTAAGTCAAAAATTAATAATCCTGATTATAAAAAATATATTTTGATACGTTTGAAATCTTGGTAATTTATACATCAGTTAACATATATTATTCATTAGTTTGAGTGATGGTGGTTTCTCCCCTTCCCGGTTAATTTTAATTATTATTTGTTTGTGTTGGATTGCGACTAAGCCTCCCCTTCCCTTATCAACTGGTCATTACCTACTACTACTACTACAACTATTTAATACTAAAATATAGCTATTATAGATACTCATTAGGATTTTCTACATAATAATTATTTTTTAATTTAATTCTATATATTAATCTCGAGCTTACATATCAAATATTATAAGCTGTATTTTATAATTTTGTACGGTGAAAAGTTTTTAGAATAATAAATTAATTGATAGTTTTCAACATTTTACGTGTACACGCGCTAAGCTTTTGATGATTAACTCATCTGTAATTAATTTTAATATCAAATTTCGACTTTAATGATAAATTAAAATATTGCATACGATACTATCAGGATAAAATAATTTAGCTATAAAAACATAGGTCAATACCTATTTTATACTAAGACCAGGTTTTGTGCCAATGTGAAATAATTATTACAAGTAAATAGGAAATGATAATAATTCCGAAATTTTAAAACAAAATATTTTAGAAAATAATTGCATAATTGATTATAGGTAAATACATACAAAAATATTACATGTATAAATAATGTAGAGAACACATACTTTTCGATATAATGTCTCCTTTTGTCAGTTAAGTGATTCAGACCGTGTATGTTGGAAGATGAAAAAAACAAATTAACGAAATTGAATACATTTGTCTTAAGTTTTATCAGTATTCTGTCTTTGTCTTTTTTAATGTCTGAATCGTCAAACTTAAACAAAATATTGCGTTTCTGAGGATTTAACTCGTTCCAGTACATTTTTCTAGATTTTAATAATCTTGGGCAACATTTATATTAAAATTGTTCACTAAAAGTTAGAGTAATAACTGTTCAGAGGCTTTAATGAATTAGGTTAGAGATGGGTAGCAGGTTTTATATAATGTTTTATTTGGTTAATAAACATAGTGTGATTTTTGTTTTGAATAATTTAATTGGAGTTGTAATTACCATAATATTATACGTTCAAGATTAGAATTTCAACCATATTATCACGAAGAATAATTTATTTATTAATAATTAGATTGCCGGGCGTTGTTGTGCACGCAAGCATTTCGTACAATTGTCACTATAACTTTTACAGTTTTCCGTAAATATATTTATTGATTTAATATTTAAATATTTAATTGATAATTCCATTCAATCCTGTATATTATGCATGTACTTCATTGATTGTATACATACCTAAAAAAAGTGGCTCAAGGTCTATATACCTACCTATTAATTATACATAATATATTATATTACTTTATAATACATATATATGTACCTTTGGTGACTAGAAATACTTTTTTTCATAGGACATATTTTTTTTTTCTGATGCATTATCCTTTATAATAGTACTATGTGTATGAGATTCTACTTACTTTTTGAAAATATTACTGGTTAATAGGAAAATGGTAATGATTTTCATAGTTTAATTATTAATTTATATTTAATGGTTAGACCTAATGCATATACTAGATAATATGAAATTCAGATCTTATTGAAATTAAATATATATGGAACATAAAATATATTTACATATTAATAAATTCATTTTCATTAGTTAAGTTTCAAATTATTTTCATTAAAAAAATAAACACAAACTAATAAGGTGACATAATTATACACTATGCACATTATCCAATTATCTTAAGAGATAGGTTTTTTGATAGAGAAGCAATGTTTTCTATGTACTTGTTTTGGATTTTTATATCTAGTCTCCATTTATATACCAAATATACGTATAGATGGATAATAAATTAAACAAACAATGTAAGCAAATCATTGCAAGAATAAACAAAGAATATTGGAGAACAATAATGACTATAAATATGTTCTATGATATTTTCGTTTTAAGTTCTTTTTATTATTTGAATTTATTTATTTAATAAAATTATTGTTTTCAGTAATATTTAGTACCTACTTTAGAATAAGTTTTACATTAATAATATT